CTAGTCTCTTCACAGGCTCTCGAGACCCTTGGGCACTGGCGGCCCCCCCAGATCCCCACTGCCGCTGCAGCCCCCCAATCCCCAGCCCTGGGCAGGGCAGGCTCCAGGCCCGCCAGCAGCTGAGCGTCGCCTGTGCTGTCTGCTGCCTCTTCATGGTCGGGGAGGTGATAGGTAACAGCGGCTGGGCCAGGGTGGGGGGCTGCCAGCGGGGCACAGGGTGCCAGCTGCTCTGTGCCCACAGGTGGGTACCTGGCACACAGCCTGGCCGTCATGACCGATGCAGCCCACCTGCTGACAGACGTGGGCAGCATGTCCGTCAGCCTCTTCTCCCTCTGGGTCTCCAGCCGCCCACCCACCAAAACCATGACCTTTGGTTGGCACCGCTCGGGTGAGCCGAGGGGCACGGCCCTGCGGGGCTCCAGGGGACCCCCATGGCTGGGTTGGGTGCTGATGGGTGTCATCCCACAGAGACACTGGGTGCACTGGCCTCTGTCCTCTCTATCTGGGTTGTGACCGCAGCCCTTGTCTATCTGGCGGCCGCCCGCATCATCAGCAATGACTACGAGATCGAGGCACGAGCCATGCTGGCCACATCCGCCTGCGCTGTCGGCGTCAATCTGGTGTATGTCCCACTTGGGGCTGTGCACCCGTGGTCCCTGTGCACCGTCAGTCTGACTCCTGCCCCACCTATGTCCCTGGAACCCCAATTGTGTCCCCAGGTCACTTTGTGTCCCTGTGCACCAGTCTTGTGTCCCCAGGTGCTGCCTCCCCCACCACTTCCCTGTCTTCGTTGTGCTCGGGGCTTCCAGTCCATGTGCCTTCAGCCCCACACCCCACATTCCCGGTCCCCCAAGCAGCACCCCACAAGCCCTGTCATGAGCCCCAGGGCCAAACCCCTGCCCTGCTCCTGCTGCACCTCCAGCCCCACTCCTCCCACCGTCCCAAGACCCAGGTGTGACTGCCTGTGCCCCCTTTGCTCAAGCAAGGGCCAGCAGGTCCCCCATGCCCTGTCAGTGTGGCACTGAGCCAGCCCTGCTCTTCCCAGCATGGCCTACATCCTGCACCAGTCCCCTGCTGGCCACGGCCATGGCACAGGGGCCTACGAGCAGCTGGAGAGCTCTGTGGCCTGCCAGCCCAGCCACAGCCCCCTGCCTGGCAGCACCAGTGTGCGGGCAGCCTTCGTCCATGTGGTGGGGGATCTGCTGCAGAGCGTCAGTGTCCTCGTGGCTGCCACCATCATCTACTTCAAGGTGCCCAGGCTGGACTGCCCCAATGCTGCCTGTGGGAACAGCTCTCCCAGTCCCACGCAGGGTGCCACATCAGCTCTGCACCCAGCCTTACAGACACCCTGCTCTCTGCAGCCCCAGTGTAAGATCGCAGACCCCATTAGCACCCTCTTCTTCTCTGTCTTCGTCCTTGGCTCCACCATCACAATCCTCAGAGATGTCTTCAGGGTCCTCATGGAAGGTGAGTAGTGAATGAGAGGGGTGTGAGACCAGAGGTGCAGGATGGGCACAGGAGCTCCTGGAGCTGTGTCTGCCACAGCCCATGAGGCAGCTCACCTCTTTTGTCCTTCCCTTGCCACACCTGAATCCCCCCAGTCCCTTCTCCCCACCCCGGCCAGGTGCATTGGCCCCAAGGTGAGGCCTGTCTCACCCCAAAGCCACCGTGCTCAGCCTGGTTCCCCTGGGGAAGCCCCCAGCCCCAGTGGCTTCCACTGGGAGCCCTCACCCAGGTGGGTGCTGTGGCTGGGGGCCAAGGGTGGCCCCTGTGAGCAGGTGCTGCTGGCAGGGACACCGCGGGGCCTCGAGTTTGATGCGGTGAAGGAGGTGCTGCTGGGGACCAGCGGGGTGCGGGGTGTCCATGACCTCCATCTCTGGGCGCTGACGCTGAGCCACCCTGCGGTGTCGGTGCACGTGGCTGTGGGTGAGTGACCTGCACAGGGCATGGCCGGGGGGATCCCAGTGGCCATGCCAGGAACGAGCCCCTGGCCACTGCTGCTCCTAGATGCCAGCGCTGATGCCGAGATGGTGCTGCAGGAGGTCACTGCCCAGCTCCAGAGCAGGTTTGGCTTTGCCTCGTGCACAGTACAGGTGGAGCAGCACCACGAGGAGACAGCAGGCTGCCCCCACTGCCAGGACCCCCGAGCCTGAGACCCCCACCCACGCTGCTACATTGGGCCAGATGTGGCCCTGGCCCCAGCTCCTTGCGCTAGAGCAGGGCAGTGCTTGAGATCCCATCCTCCCCTCTACCCCACACCACTGCTGTGGAGTCCTGGGGTGGGACAGTGACTCCAGTGTGGTGTCCTGGGGGGATGGACGCATGGCCTGGCCTGTGGAACACAGGGGGCTCCCTGGGATCTTCCACTCCCTGATGTGCCACAGCTCCTGAGGTGGAATCCTGCCCCACCACCCAGTCCCCAGGGAGCCTGTCTGTCCTGGCAGAAGGGGACATCCCCCAAGGGGGACCTCAGACCTGGCCTTGGCCCCAGCCCCACACACTGCTGCCTGAGCTCCATCTGAATCCTGCTGTTCCTGATCCATTCCCTCTGCTGAGTTGTGCCTGTGCCCCTGGTGTCCACCTGTCCATCTGTGCCAGCAGCAGTGCCAGCACTGCCAATAAATGTGTTGGAGCAGCAGCAGCAGCGCAGCAGACTGGTATGGGGAGGGAAAGGGTGGAGTTGGGGGTGGGCCCCTACAGCCACTGCTACCAGCCACGTCTGCCCCAGTGCCAGTACCACCACATTCATACAAAACCACCACGTTTATTCTGCACAGCTGAACACAAGCTCAATGTGAGCGACTCCACAGCTCCCAGCCCCTTCCCTGCCCTCTGGTGCACAGCAGGGATGGAGGCGAGCACAAGCACAGCTCCACGCTGGTGAAGGGTCCGCAGGGTCAGACCCACAGCTCAGCCCTGGGACATGTGCAGGTCCCACAACCCCTGCCCAGCTCAGACCAAACAGTGTAGACAGACCCTTCCAGGCTCAGAGGATGAGGACAAGCATCCAGAGCATCCCAGAGAACGTCTGGGAGCAGCTGTCCCTCCTGCAGCAGACACCCATAAGGAAAGCAGCACTGAGGGGGCCAACAGCCCCATGCCAGCACAGCTGGCCCCAGCCCCTCCCCAGGGTGAGCACATGGCAGCAGCATGAGGGACTGACAGCCCTACTCTGCTGGCAGCAGGGAGTGCTCAGGGGGGCCAGGGCTGCTGGCTGTGTCCCCATAGAGGACGCTGAAGCGGGCCTGGCACTCTGGGAGCAGCTGTTGGCCCACGCCAGAGGCCAGCCCTACCAGGCAGTGTGCCCGCACAATGCCCGCCTGCCCACCCGACACCAGCCATCCCTGCGAGTCCAGGTTGGGGCTGAAGCGCACCTGTGGGAAGAGAGCAGTTCCTAAGGGAGGGGGTTGGGGTGCTGGGACTCTGGGCCCCAGAGCAGACCATCTGTGTGCAGGGCTGGGGCTCAGCTTGGCCCACTCACCTTGTGGAGGGCCTCCAGCTGCAGGCGGTCAAGGCTCAGTTCTGCCTTCAGCTCCTGCTTGTGCATCCGGCGCATGGGCTCCCGGCTCGGGAAGTTCTGGAAGCTGCGCTGGAAAGTGGTGGCACCACCTTGGGCTGCAGGCCCGAGGCAGGAGCATCGCCTGCACCGAGATCTCGGCCCTGCCCGAGGTAAGCGGCTGCCCCAATGCCCCAGCAGCATCTCCTGGCCCTGCCAACCCCACTGCCCAGCCACAGCCCCACCAGCCCTGCTCACAGGTCAGACCCCAGCTGCCTCCCGTCCTCTCCTACCAGGTCTGTGTCCTGGAATCGAATGTAGCTCCTGGCCACCATCTCACTGTAGCGAAGGGTCCTGGGCAGTGCCTGCTCGGCACACTCGGGCCCATCAGGGCTGCACGGCAGCAGGTCAGCTTTGTACACCGGCTGTGGGTGAGAGGGGGCTCAGGGGAGGGTGACAGAGATCCTGCCGCTTCTCTGCAGACAGGGACCACCAGGACACTTTTCCTATGGTCCCCCCTGCCCCCGCCAGCGCTGTGTGCCTGGGCTGGGCCACCCGAGCGCAATGGTCTCTTACAAATCTGCGGTCTGAGGAGCGCTTGACGTTGAGGGGGTTGACAGCCAGGTCAGGCAGCACCGCTGCCACCAGCTCACCGGTGATGTCACCTGCAGCTACTGTGTTCAGCCAGTCCGAGCCAGAGATGCTCTGCAGGGACAGAGGGCTGGAGGGCACAGGGTTCCCACCACCCCCACAAGCCCTGAGCCCCAGCTGGGGCTGACCTGGCCACTGGGACAGAATGGCCCTGCACTGGCCCTTACCCACACAGTGCCCTTGCGAGGGGCCACAAAATAGGCCTTGAAGCCCAGGTACCCGGCGTCGATGTAGTGGATCCCACAGACCCCATACCTGTGGAGGAAGTGAATGAGGCATGGGATGCCTGACTGCTGTCACCAGGAATTGGTGAGCCAGGCACAGCCCACCTCCCCACAGAACTGCCCCAGGGTGAGTGTGCTGTTCTTGCTCTAGCAGCATTTCACAGAGTCAAGAGGACTCAAGGCAGCTCCCAGAGGCCAAGAACTTGCCGAGACCCTAAACCTCTTTGGCAGCACAGCTGCTGCCCAGTTCAGGGGTAGGCCATCCCCTGGCCCACCCTGCCTCTGCCTCAGAGTGGCACAGCAGAGGGGATGTCACGCTGTGCTGGTGCGGTGTGACCCAAAACAAGCTGGGCCTGCCCTTGCCATGGCACAGCTGGACAGTCCCAGGGAGGGGGAAACCAGAGGGGCCCCTGGGAAGTTTGACCAGGCCCTGGCAGCAGGACTGGCCCCAGCACTCACGAGGCATAGCAGTTGTCCTGGGCCACAGTGATGCCATTGTAGGGCAGCAGCCAGGCCACCTCAGTGCTCAGGAACCGCTTGATGCTGTTGATGGGCTCATACAGCCGACGCAGGTCCCAGAACTTGATCTTGCGATCGCTGCCTACCGTGACCAGGAAGTTGCTGAGAAGCAGGAGAAAGGCAGCACTGAGAGGCCAGCATGGAGCTGTGCCCTGCCCCGCCATAGGGCACTGATGGCCCCAGTCCTGCAGCGGCTCAACTGCCCTCCCCTGGAAAGCCCAACCCAACCTCTCTGGTGCTGCAGGGGGCCAAGTACCATTGGCACCATGGCCTCCCAAGCCCTTCTTGACAAAGGAGGAAGCTCCTCTCCTGGCAGCATCTGTACCTGCTCCTGCCCTCACCTGTCAGCCTTGCACCACTCAATGCTCCGGACTGCGTGGTCATGGGCTAGAAAGCACCGGAAAGGGTAGAGCTTGAGGGAGGCGTCAGGCTGGTGCACGCACTGCAGCAGGGATTTGGTGAGCAGGTTCCACACCGCCACGGTGCCTGTGGAAAGACTTGTGCCCATGAGGTACTGCCAATGGCACAGGTGCTCTGGTGGGGGACCAGCAGTGGCACAAGCAGGGCTGTGGGAGCTGTGGACCACTGTAAGCCTAGAAAATTCCATCCAGGCAAGTTCAACAGATGTGGGTAAGCCCAGAGCCACAGACAGGGCCAACCAGTGACCAGCCTGGAGGTACATCAGAGTGACAATAGCCAGCCCAGAGAAGCCTTCCTCTAACCCAGGGCTGGGCAGAGGTGCCAGCACCAGCTGAGGCTGAGCACAAGGCTCCAGCGCTCTGCCAGGGTGAGGGCTGCTCCTCGAATGCTGCCGCAGGGCACAGGAGACTCACCGTCATAAAACCCTGCTGCAAGGTGATGGTGGGGCTTGGAAGGCATCCAGGAGAGACTGAAGCACTGTCCACACTCAGTTGCATTACCTGCCTCGATGGAGCCCACCTGAAGTGTGGCGATGCACTGCACCTGGGGGCCAAGGGAGAGCCCTGGGTCACAGCCCTGCAGCGGTGCCATCCGTGCCCCAGGAGCGGGATGCCTGGGGTGGGAGCACGACACTGTTCTGCCCCTCCAACACTCTGCAGGTGCCTCGGCTCCCCAGGCTCTGCCACCTGCACTGGCTGGGGGGCTCGCCGAGTGCCGGCCCTGACAGGGATCACCATGGTGGGGAACACTGACCTTGCAGATAAGGTGCTTGTGGAGGGACCCATCTAGAAGAGAGCAGAAGGGGGTCAGGGCAGGCATTGGCTGTCCCGGGAGCTCCCTGGACTGCAGCTCTTCATGGTCCTGGCCAGGGCTCCCAGTCCCTGTCCTGCCATTCCCCTAGAGCAGTGTTCGCAGCACAGCAGGAACTGGAGCACATGGAGGTACAAAGGCGTGGCAGCAGGACCCCCAGGAGCCAGGCCTGCCTGTGTGTTGGTAGAAGCAGCCCCTGAAATGGGCCACAGGCAGAGATGATGTGCTCCTGCCCCACCATGGCCAGCACCAATGTTGAAGTGATGCAGTGACACACAGGAGCCAGACCTGACTTTGACCACCCCAGGAAGGCAGAGAGCAGCTGTGCAGGACATCTGCTCCATGGCTGACAGGACTAGAGCAGCCAGGCACCACTCCTGAGAAGGGAGGCAGAGACCCCACACCAAACAGCTCAGGGCAGGATACCTACAGGACCACCATGCACCAGCTCTGTCTACCAGAGAATCTCCCCCACCAGCAACACCATACATGAGTGCTGTGGGGACCCCATCCCACATCCCTCAGGCCTGGGGTCCCTAACCCCCACGTGGGGCTGTCCTGCACAGTCAGCACCAGACCGGCACATCACAGCCTGCAGCGTGGCAGCCATGGGTGGAGATACGGAGGAGCTGTGACAGCTGGGATGCAGGATGGAGACCAGCCCCAGCTCTGCCAGGCAGGAACACAGGGATGTGGGTCCCCAGTGCCCCAGGGACAGCCAGCACAGCCACGCCAGTTTGGGAGCTCCCAGCAGGGCCTGTCACCACAGCCTGGCACTGATCCTGGGGCTGGAAACCAGTGCTCCAGCCCAGCAACGACCGCGCGTGCTGGGCTCCAGTCACGGCAGGAGCTGGCTGGGCCCCCCTCACAAGGTGCTGGGGGGGGCTGCAGTAGGGCCCAGCCACCCGCAGGCAGCGCAGGCACAGCCAGCACGCTGGGGGCGCTGGCAGCTGTGTCTGGGCACAGGGAGCCCATTTCCACCGTCAGCACACAAGTGCTGGCTGTCGGCCACGGCCGAGCGCCCGCCGCCAGCACGCGCTGGCCATCAATCCCGCTCAGCTCCGGCACAGTCATTACAGGCACCATTAGTCTGAGCCAGCCCTGCACTCCTGTCCTAACGCATGGCTTGGCTGAAAGAGGCAGGTCTGGCAGCAGGGAGATGGGGAATGGCTGGGGACACGCTTTGTGGCTGTGCCCTGCTGTGCCCAGCGATGCTGCTGAGAGCCCCCTCCCACTGCCCAGCTTTTGGGGCTGCCTGGGAGCCACATCCCAGCCAGGCTGCTGCAGTGTCCCTGAGACAGAACCAAAGCAGCACATTGCACACGGCCTCCACTCACACAGGCTGCAGGTAAGGCTGGAGCCCTTCACTGGAATTCCACAATGGAATTGTGGAAGCCATTGGAAGCAACGCTTTGGCACTGGGGCTTGGATCTCTGGGCACAAGAGTACTCAAAGCAGGCCTCCAACACCAAAAAGCAGCCTTGGATCCCACACTATACCTGTGACAGATGCCAAG